AAAGGAATATCCAACAAACAGCTCGAATAACCAGTTTTTCATTTGGGGGATTATTGGCCAAGATACCAGGAAAAACTCTTTTTTCAACATGTACATTATATACAATATGCCAGAAAAATATCCATGTGTAGGTGGCAAGCACATGTGGAATTCTGTCTGCTTTCGATACTCTTCAGATTGGCAATTAGTTTCTGTAGTTGGCAAACACCCATATATATCACTTATAAAATCAAGTCAGGAGGTTGTGGGTTCAGGTCCAATGTCTCTCGGCTGACACCCGATACAGTGCTAGGGTTGTATTGTACTGTTCGAGGTCCTGTCCTTCGGATGAGACGTTAATCCACGATCAATTTTTTTGGGGTCAGCCGGGTGTCTGAAAAATGCGGAAACCCATCATCATGCTTAAGAGTATCCAAACCAAGCTGAGATTTCCATGTATCCCACCTCCACATGGAAATTCCACAGATACGTTGTTGGAATAGTATGCGAACTCTCTCCCTGGAGAGACGCTTCCTACTTACCTAATTCCAGAGAGTCTTAGGTGCAGATTGGCAAGAGCCAAGGCTTGGGGAGTCCCAAAGTGTGCATTGGGGTACTGCTGGAGTCCACTAGCTAAAACCACATAGCATTGATATTGCTATCTGGCAAGCTTTCCTGCTGTTTGTCCAGTTAGAACCACACTAACCGTTAGGGCTTTGGCTTGCAGGGTTAATAGGAGCAGAGTCAGATGATTCCCCGGCCCCAATGACTGGTGTGCCTTTCCAAGTCCTGCCGATGAGCCAGGCTGGCTATGCTGCCATCAGCAGTGCCCTGGAATATTGGACATCTATGGAAGGTGTTGTCATCTAGGAACTGGACTGCCGAGACCACCACAGAGGGCTGGTTTGATTACGACATTCTGTTACCAGGTATGTCACCTTGCAACCAGTTTAGCTCCAAGGAGAACCAGCTTACCTCCCCACCAAAGATCTGCTTGTTCAAATGGACATTAAAGATCCCATTGCATTATTCAAAAAGTGAGTTTTTCCTGGTCTTGGACAAAAAAAACCCAATAAAAGTGGTCATTCATTTCATGGCTGTTTGTGGGACATTATGTGCAACCTGGCTGCCGTATTCACCTATTTAAAAAAAAGTCACCATATTGACTGTATATCCTGTGAAGTGCTTTGCGACTTTTCCTGTAGAGAAAGGTGCTGTAAAGTTTATTATATTATAGTAGTATATAATACACACAAAATATACTTTCCAAAAGCTCTAGAAAATCCTAATTCTAAAACAAATCCTCAATGCTTTTTTCTCAACAATGTTGATCAATTCCACGATAGCGATCTGCCTGTACAGCTTCTCACCACTAGATGGAGGCCGAACACGCAAGACAGCATGGACTGTTCAGGTCAACACTTACATGGAACAGGATAACCAAGAGCTGGCATCATTCAGGTGGTGAAGTAACTTCACTGAGATGTGTTCTAAAACTCTTGATCCAGTGCCAAATACATAACATTGGATAAAGCTCTGGAGCCTAAATAATAAACGTTGCGTTTGATACAGCGCCTTTCCACAATGGGAGGACGATTCAAAGTGCTTCAGATGATATACCGTCAAGTGTATTGACCGGGGAGAGGTATTAAGCAGGGTGTCTCAGGGGCCTGTATTGGGAACCCCTACAGTTCCTCATATATATTGATAACATGGGTTCACAGACCTTTAAATTCACAAATGACACCAAGGTGGGGTGGGAGAAAGACTGTGGAGTCAGAGGAGGCAGATGAAATTCAATACTGATAAATCCTAGGTACTAGAACACAACAACAACAACAAAATTACATTTGTATAGAGCCTTTCACGTTGGCAGGACCTCCCAAGGTGCTGGACAATCAATGTTTCGGACCCGATCTGGGGGTCAGGATTAGGGAGGGTGGAGGGCAGGGGTTGAAGGAGGGTGACGGAAAGCACACTTGAAGAGGAGGGTCTTGAGACGGGTCTTGAAGGAGGCAAGAGAGGGGGCGAGGAGGAAGGACTGCGGGATGGAGTTCCAGAGGGTGGGGAATACTACATACAGGATCCAAGAAAAGGAAACACAAGTATTTCATGCATGGGATTCAACTTGCCAAGGGGGAAGTGGAAAGAGATCTTGGGGTGTTAGTTAATTTCTCGCTCACTGTGTCAAGACAATGTGATGCAACAAGAAACAAGGCAGACAGGATGCTGGGCTATATTACTAAATCAGATAAGCTTAGATTCCCAGATTTCATAGTCAGGCTGTACAATGCTCTGGTCAGACCACATCTGCATACAGTTCTGGTCACCATAAACATAAGGGGCTGCTGATACCCTAGAGGGAGTGCAGAGGAGAGCAATGAGGATGATCTCCAGTGTTAGAGGAATGATGAGACAAGCTGGGTTTTTCTTTACACAGAGGAAAATCAGAATCTGGAACAGTAAGGGTGGTTAAGACCAGGACACAAGACTCGTTTGAAAAGCAGCTTGATGCAGTGATGTGGACAGTAAGGTGGTCTCTGGAGGGATGAGATTAAATCAGTTGATATACCTTCTTCGTCCTAACTAATCTTGTGATCTTGTAACTGTATTTTTGGGCACTTTTCAGATTCTATTGTTATAGACAATATCAAATAAAAGGCTCGTTATTGAACTCATCACTTCCCTCTTTCCCTTGGGCTTGGCCGATTGATCTAATGTAGATATAATACAAGGTAATACACTACATATAAAAACAAGAAACCATAAACCTGGGCAAAATGACAACAGTTTCTATAGGGGTGCAATAGGAGAAGCATTATGACAATAGTTTGCTGAAAGTATCCAGTCAAAGTAAAGCTTAGCGTAAGCAGAGCTAATTAAATAAATACTAGGTTTCATCCTGAGGGCATTTTGCTAAGTTGAAAGTTATTCTAACCTTGTATGTAGTTCACTGGTTAGACCACATATGGCAGCAGGATTGGGCAACTTACCATCAACAAGACTGAAGTTTGGAGAGGTCTCAGAGAAAAGTAGCAAGTACCAGGACTTAGAAGTTATAAAGAAGATGACTAGTTGTTCCAGTTAAGATTGAGGATGACATAGGGTAGTTTTTTAAAATGATGAAAGACAGCAATAACTTAGATATCAGCAGACTATCTTACATCAACATAAAGATACAAACCAGGGGCATAGATAGGTTCAGAATGAAAAACTTAGAGCAGAACCAAAGTGAAGATTTTTTTTCCTCCCCACAAAGCAGTAAATGTGTGAACAAACTCCCAACAAAAGCAGCTTACTAAATCAATCAGTTCACAGCAACCTGGATTAAGTATATGCTTAAGGACAGGAAGAGAGAAAAATGGAAGAATCCTAGCTGTTCTCAGTTGACGACAGCTAGAGGGAGTCAGGGAGCATTAAACTCATTCTCAATATTTTCAAGTGAAAGAGGATGGGCGAGCCACAGTGTGGTCACCACTATCAGCAATATATTATTGAAATGGTCAAGTGAATACTGTCTCAAGGCGTCAGGATCAAATGAACATCTCCTAAGGTCAAAAAACCCTAGTTTCCTTACTCCACACTCCTCTGTTTACCTAGCAGTAAGTAGAAATCCAGTTGTTAGGCGATTGGCAGATCGATTTTCCGGGAGTAATAATCCCTTTAAAGAAAAAAAATAATAATTTGGTCACTCAATCCACAACTGTTTGTGGGACACTGCTATACACAATTGGCTGCCGTGTTTCACCCACAAAACATAGCCAATTCACTTTACAATATGTCCTATGAAGGACTTTGAGAGGTCGCAAAGATGTGATAAGGCATTATGTGGAGTCCTGTAGCTCAGTGGTTAGAGCACTCGCTTTGCAAGTGAGAGACCTGAGTTCAATTCCAGGCAGAGGGCGAAACCTTGGGCAAGTTTCCTTACTCCACACGCCTAATAATAATCCGTCCAAAAAACAAAACAATAATAAATTGGTCATTTTCAATCTACGACTGTTGTGGGACACTGCTGTGCGCAATTGGCTGCTGCGTTCGCCCACAAATATACAGTCAATTCACTTTACAGTGTGTTCTGTGAAGCACTTTGGGACGTCCGCCCGACGTGAAAAGCGCTATATCAAATGTAAGGATTATTATTATATCAAATGCAGTTATTATTATTATTATTATTATTATTACCAATATTCATTGGCCACATTCAGATATGAAAAGTAAATTTCTATTAATAAGAAAAGTTTAATTAAAAGTGGCACCAAAGATTTCCTTTAAAGCATTGGAGGAAGATAATTAAACATTACAATCTATAATTAAACATTACATTCATCTGAATTTAAGTCATTGTACAAATTAATTATCATGCTGCCATTTCTCATCAAGAGTATCTGATTTGCAAAATAACTCATCTTGGCTGTGGGCTTCTGCAACTTTTTTCTCTCCTCCACTCTTAAAGGTACCAACTCATGCTTAGCTCCCACATGATAATTCTTCACGTCAGAGTTTAGACAAAGAACATCAGCAGGCTATTCAACTGTGCAGCAGCATCAAGGCCAAGTTCAATCCGATTTTGTTCAAAGATATTCCAGACCTTTATAGATAACCGAGCGAGTACTTCACAAGCGAGTGACTTATCCACTGAGATGTTAAAGGACATTATTATTAATATAATAATAATAATCCTATGAAAACCATAGGGGTGAAAAACTGACAACTGGAGGAACAATATTCATCAAAACACAAACATCTTCACTCAAATACTAATTGGGCTGATGTTACTGCTTCCATCAAAATAAGAAGTACATCTAAAAGTTTACAATATATTGAGGAAATAATTCAACCGTTGAAAAAAAAACAAGACTTCAAGGAGCAAAGTATGCAGACATAGGATGGAATTGTCCTCCCCTCAACCCACCAATAGGGTCTACATGGAGAAAAACAGTTGTGAAGGCCACCAAAAGAATATCACAGCTATATCGGATGTACTTGGTCATCTGTATTCATTCATTCCACATGAGCCTTACCAGTAATAGTGCAGGCATCTCTGTGCTCTCCGCTGCTGAAAGCATCTTCTGAATCAAATGCCTCACTCACATAGTACTCTTCACTGGTGCCTGTATCACAGGCGGGGACTGGGGAACCACTTGACCCTGAAGCAGACAGCCTGGCAGCTGAGGCTTGTTCACTCAAAGCTGTGGCGTCCAGCTTGGCAGATTTCACTGGGCCGCGTAAAATGCCATCAGTGGGGCAAATGTTAATGACTGGATCAGGCAGGCAGAAAACTAATCCTGGTTCTGTGTCCCTGGTGGTATCATCAATGTACCTAAAAAACAGGAAGTAGACACAGTACTGTTAGAAACTTGGTGATAAGTTTAGGAAAGAATTACATAAAGTGATATTGCACAGAAACAGTATATTCAGCCCAACTATAGTCAGTGGCTGTAGTTTTACTCCACACAAGTCCCACCGCTACTGTTCTCTTCTCCCTCAATTATGCAGGAAGTTTTCTATAAAATACATTTGCTTTTGGTTTCAACCACAGCTTCCAGCAATGAGTTTTACATTCCCAACATCTCCTCAAACTCTTCATTAGATCTACTACCTTACTTAGGAAGAACTACACACAAATCAATCTGCTTTCACCAAAACAAACTCAAATTTTTAAACATACAGTTTAAACTGCATTTTAAGCAGTGAAAGTAAAGGACTGTGAAGAGTGAGAGAAAGATCACTATTTTAAAATGACAATAGGCTCTGCTTTCTGCTGCCATAAAATAGTTTTATATTACTCCTGCTCTGCTGAGATGATTGCCGGAATCCCAATTGTGCCAGTCACAATTAATTATATGGTTACGAATGGTGATTATTCATTTCCAAGTAATTATTCCTGAGTTGGGCAAAAAGTAATCCAGCATGGTTAGAGGTGAAGCATTAATCAGTCAGCAATGCAACTCAAAAAGGAGAAATGATAAATCATTCTGACTGGAAACTAATGAGTCCCTGCTGTTCACACAGAAGAATCAAAATCTGCAGGAACTTACAACCGACTGTGCTCATACAGACTGAATATGGGAAATTATAACTTGCAATAAGTGTCGAAGGGAAGGATGAAAAATTCTCCTCACCTATGAGCTCCAAGGGGAAAGATAGGATGCATAAATGAAACTGTTCCAAGCCTGAAAACTGCAGAATAGCAACTCTGAATAAGAAATACAAAATTGCTCACATTACAGCTCTCAAACCCGAAACATCACACATTCTCTCTTCTCCCCCTGCCCCACATTAAACAATCCAGCTTCTACCCTATACCCTTGAGCATGGGTACATGTTATTTGCATTGATTATTTGCTTCTTGTTCTACAACCTATGCAGGATATGCATGCTAAATAAGTAGTCAACTCACAGCATGACGTGCACAGGTTTGTATCCTGCATGGGTCAAAGGTCATCGGACGACTTACATGACCTTGTGCCTCTTGTTGTCCGCCTACCCCCTGTTGAAAGAAATAGTGTTTCAGTTCGTGTTCGGTTAGTAACAGATGAAGCATCCGAAAAGTGCTTCACTCATTACCGACAAAGGGCATGGAATAAGCACGAACATTCAACAGGCAGTCTTTACTTTCACCGCTATACAGCCAAGAATTAGTATTTAGAGTATACACAACACCTGGGCACAGGCTCTCCACTCAGCAAATGGAGGAGATGCAGGGGCCTCATGTAGAAAACTTGCCAACTTTCCTCTGGGGAGGTTAACTGATAGTTGAGCGGGTGATCTTCAACAATGTCAAATGCAAACAGTTGTCAAACACTTGCCCGTTACAGAATGTTTATATCATGAGAGTTTTGAACCAGTTCAATAAACATTTTCAATACCAAAGGCAGTTGGCCTGTTTTTTAAATGAGACTGCAACTTCTTTATGAAAACTGTACCAAATCCACATAATACAGGTAGGATGGCCACGTAAATATCAGTTTTTAATCACATTGATGAAACACCATTGGTAGTATTTTTAATTCACAGTTTTCCTTTTGTCACTAATAAACAGAAACACTACTTTCATTAAATAATGTGCAAAAACACTGCGGAGAAAGACAGAAAGAAACCAGTTCAAATTCGCCAAACACTGCTCAATACAAATTGTATTAAAGTAAATGGAATCTTTGCCTTCCACTGTGGAAATGTAAATAATCAATAGCAGAGTACAGGGATACCTCATTAAAACTGAGTCCAATTTTTCATGGACCCGGCTATAAGTGAGGCACAAAGAGGCCAACTTCCAGGTCAGCAGGTTGCAGCTAATATCACTTCCTATGGTGTGATGTCAGTGCTGTTCCCTAAGCAAAATGAACTAACTGCAGGACATGACATCAGTGGTGACCCAGGTTTACTGCCAGTTGGCAATGAGTCCACACTAGACCAAAAAGCAATACTATAATCGCCCACAAAATATACAGTCAATTCATTTTACAGTATATTCTGTGAAGTGTTGTTTCAACAACGTGATAAGGTGCCATATCAAATGCAAAGTCTATTATTATTTTCATTATTATAATATCAAAGGACGTTATAATGGAGTGCCCAGTAGTTAAATGCTTTATTTGATTCATGGGTTGAAGTCTAGGGCCTGCACGATACTGACACAGCAGCAACCAAGGGATGAGTTCTGCACTGGACTCTTCATGGTAATGTATAACCCCACTTTATAATTAAACTTATTAAACTTAATAAGTATAATTATAATTAAACTTATACTTCCTGATCAACATTATGTCTCCATGCTCACCACGTTATATGGATCAAAGGAGGCAGCTGGGACTGATCCTGCCTTGTCAACTTGTTTCATAGCCTGGAGAGGAATAGTAGAAACTGTCTGACAGAGAGGATTCAGAGACAATTATATTCCCCCAGGTCTATCTACATGAAGATCTTAAAGTATTTTTAAACATTTTTAACAATACAAAAATTCAAGCCTGCTGAAACATATTGATATGGTGCACATTTTTAAAGTTCCTTTTAGGTTCTTTTTTAAAAAAACATTTTCAAGGTGAAATACAAACCACACTGCCCACAGTGCAGACTACAACCAAAGATATAATACACACACAAATAGAACATTTCAGCTCAGAAGAAGCTCAACTACAAAATGCAGCAATACACCAAACCCACATTCGCCCAGGAGGGATAATAACCATGGGACTTAGCTGATCGTGTGTTAGTGGGATTCACCTGTACTCTGCTATTGATTATTTCAATTTCTGCAGTAGAAGACAAAAAAAAACATTTTGTTTTAATCATTTTAAAGTCAGGAGTGTTTGGTGAATGTAAGCTGCTTTCATGCTGTCTTTTACATAGTTTTTGTACATTATTTGATAAAAGTAGTGTTTAGGTTTATTACTGAAAAAAGGAATGGTTTGTAAAAGCACTGTAACATGACATATTTTTTATCTATGTTTGGATTTATACAATTCATATGTGATACAACTGATGACTAACTAACAAGAGGAGAACACACAAATATCTATTTGAAACCAGAGTCTCTGGGATACATAGTTGCACTTGTAAATAGTATGTAGTGCCCTATAGTGTAATTTTAAATAAAAGGACCTTAATACTGTCTTTGTAGGATTCTCCAAGTACCACTTCCAACAAAAATAATTTATACGTTTATAGTGCCTTTCACGTTGGGAGGATATCTTAAAGGACATGGCTGACTGCTAGTCCGAGTTGGGTTGAGGGTTGTTAAGGAGGACAGGAGAGAAAAGTGATGAAAATCGTGGTTGAAAAGAAAGGCCTTTTCTTTAAGGTGAGTTTTAAAGATGGGAAGGGAGGGAGCAAGGTGCAGGGACCCCAGAATAGAGTTCCAGAGAATGGGAAGAGGAGGGGAAAATGGTTGAAAGTGAATCCATCAATGGTGGACCCGAAACGTTGACTCACTTTCCTTTCTCCATAGATGCTGCCTGACCTGCTGAGTGTTCCCAGCAACTTGTGTTTCCATCAATGGTGGGGCTGGGCGGGTGCAGCACATAAAGCAGGCAAAGTAGTAGGTTTGCAGAAGGTCACGATTGGTGGAACGAAGCATTGGAGGATTTGAACAGTGATGAGGATCTTTAGAGCATCTGTGCAGATCTTAGGGCAAGCCTTTTTGATTTTACTTCTTAGTTTCGCCCACAGAATATATAGTCAATTCACTTTACAATAAATTCTGTGAAGCGCTTTGAGATATCTCAACAACGTGCTAAAGTGCAATATCAAATGCAAGGATTATTATTATTATTATCCACCAGAGTCTGAGGAATGCCATAAAAGGGAGCGACGAACTAATAAAAAAAAACTTGGGTGTTAAGACTCTGCCAATTCTAGAAATCTCTGGAAGCACATGATTTCAAGGTGTCATGGTCCAATCGTGGCGGCCATTTCATGATCAACAGGTGCAGTGACCTGGAAGGTATGTTTCAAGGATAAGTACATGCATGGTACGAGCCGCTTTGATGCTTCAGTACTCACTGAAAGTCACATTGCCAGAGCAGCAGCCAAATTAGAGTCTAAATTTAGCAATTCTCACTTTAAAGAATGGACGGCAAAAATCCAAGCGAGTGTAATCAGAACCAATATATATGTCAATAGGTTCTATAGATAAATACTATGTTTTGAAACAGACAATTCCCCCTCTCAAATTTAGTTAAAAGTAGTTTGATTACGTGACCGAGAGGCTTTGTGTGATGGCGGCCTATATATGGTACAAAGTTCTTTGCATAGAACATTACAGCATGCAAAAAAGCCACTTAGCCTTAATAGTGCATTTATACTAGTTGCACTGCACACGAGCCTCCATCCCTCCTAATCAACTCTACCGTACGCCCTATTCCCTTCTTCCTTATGTCTTCGTGCAGCCATTTTGTTCAAAGAAAGATTCTAAAAACAGTAAATGATCAGTTTATCTGCAGGAGTACCAAGACACTAGGAGAAACTCTTCTTTTTGAATAGTGTCAGGGGATCTTTAATATCCACCTGAAGGTCAGGGAGATGGGATATAGATTTAATGCATCAACCAAAGGACAGTGCCTCTGACAATTTAGTGCTCCTATAGTTCTGGAGTGTCAGTCCTGTCATTGAGTGACAGTCTGGACTACAAGATCAAAATATCAGGTAGAGAAATCAGGTAAATATCAATAACTGTTTTACTAAAATCAGACATTTTGCATAATCTAGAAGGTGAATAATGACTAATACTTCAGTTCACTCTACTCTTAGAATTTGAGACCATTTTATAGTCATTTTTGATTTATATGGCTTTCCTCACTTTTCCAATGTCTGTCTCTGTCAGTGTTTTCCCCATCTGTCTCTGCAATATCCTCCCAACATGAAGGCTGCGGTCGAAGAGGAGATTCTTAAGACATACCTTGAAGGAGGCAGGGGAGGGAGCAAGCCAAAGGGAATGTGAGATGGAGTTCAAAATGGTAGGGGCAGAGAGGCTGAAGACCTGACCGCTGATGATGGGGCAGGCCGGGAGGGGGACATGAGCAGGCGAGCCTGCTGAGCGGAGGGAGTGGATAGGTTGGTAAGGGTCAGGTCACAGAGGTAGGAAGAGGCAAGGCCGTGAAGGACCTGGAAGGTGAGGATGACGATTTTGAACTCTATTCTTTGGGGAACGGGGAGTTCTGGATTAAACACAGATTGTGGAGGGAAGAGTTGGTACGGCCGACAAGCAGAGAGTTGGCGTAGTCAAGCCTGGATGTGATGAACGAACAAACGAGGCTTTCGGCGGCCCGAGGGATGAGGAGTGGTGGAGCTGAAAGCTATTCTATTCAGCTGTAAAAGATAATGCAGAGTTATAAATTATGTGGCTTGTTTTTGGCTGAGCCTGCTTGCTGAATATTTAATAATTTGCTAGTCATTGCCATATAATCCCCCACAAACTTGCAGGAATGGGTGGTACTATGTACAAAGGATGATTGCAGGAGGAGGCAGTGACAAACTAATGTGAATCATTCCAAGCCTTTTTCATCTGCTGAAGTGACTACTTTAAAAATAAATTGGCCTGATCAGTCCTTCACTGTACCAGCTCATTTTGACATTGGTTGCTACAGAAACAGTGAAATTTCAACAACACGCCAGGGCAGACCTCAAATATGCAGGACACAAATCCTTTGGCAAGGCATGATAGGTCATTATAGGGATTCCATTTAAACACAGTGCATTTCAGAAGGTTTGTGTATTAATTTGTACTGTTTTCACTTTTATTTATAAAACCATTTATTGTCAAGGTCTCTCATGTGTCAGCACGGCTCAGTTGGTAGCAACAACAACAAATCACACTTGTATAGCGCCCTTCACGTCAGACAAACGACTCAGGGTGCTGGAAAGTCAGGGTTTTTTGGAACGGAGTTGAGAGTTGGGTTTAGGAGGAGTGGAAGGGGGGGGGGTTGAGGGTGGGAAGGCATGGTTGAAGAGGAATGTCTTAATACGGGACTTGAAGGAGGCAAGAGAGGGGGG